AAAGAAAGGCAAGGTAACTGAGGAAAAGTAAAATAACGGTATTCTGAATGAATCATGGAATTGACCTTGGCTAAGTTCAGGAAAGTTCCCCAGTAGGGGCTGATGCATAGTGGAAAAAGTAGTGGGAACCATGGATTAGCATCTCAATGATCCCAAAAACCTGATAGCAGGGTTCTTGAGCAAGAAAGTCTGAATGATAAAGGTGGGTGGCTAGTGGGATGTTTATTGCATATTTTGTGCCATTTTAATGTTTTAAAATATATGATTGTGGGATGCCTGGGTGGCTCAGTTGGTTGAGGGTCCAACTCTTGGTTTTGGCTCAGGTCATGATCTCAGGGTCATGGGATCAAGCCCTCCATCAGACTTAGCACTTAGCATGGAATCTCCTTGTCCCTCTCCCTCTGATCTTCCCTATCACCGACCTACCCCCTCCACTGCTTTGTCTCTCAAAAGTAAAATCTTGAAAAAAAAAAAAAATATATATATATATATATACAGTTTAAAAGAAGTGGAAGTAAATATTGTGTCATGGTTACCTAGTCATACTGGACTGTGCTCCCCTCGGCAGACATAATACATTTCACACTTTAATGGATTAAGATTTTGCCTTTATGGCATAGCAGTTTAAACCTCTAAATGTTTACTTTGTGACTGTAATTTTCCCTTTCTTTGAAATGACAGACATATTGACTCACCTGTCCAAACATGTAGAGTAGCTTCCTTATGTACTCACACCGTTTGTGGGCTAAAGCCGGTTACCAAAAGAGAAAGGAAAACCAGCAGACCCTTGTGCCAGGTACCCAACTTTCTAGGTTCTGGGATCTTCTATCAGAGAGATGCAGGTAGTCAAAATGAAGTGTGAAGAACAAGAATTAAGGACTCATCAACTTGATACTTACTAGAACTGATAGTGGTTAATGTCACCTCTTCATGTTTACTATTGAAAACCACTTGAACTCTGTCTACCAAACTTCTAAGTCAAGAAGTTTTAGTGTATCTTAGAAGCACAAAATGAGGGGAAAATACACTCTCCTCCTCACTTAAATCCATTAAATAAAATGCCAAATTCCACTTCAAAAAGGCTTAGCAGATGTTATTTACAGCATTGCTCTGAAGAGTTAGAGACACGGGATCACTTTTAAATTCTGTATTTCCAAATAATTTTTCAATAAAAACCAGAGGCATACAACCAAGATTTTAAAATGGCAAGCCATTTTAAGAACCAAAATCACAGTACTCTAAATCAGTATTTCACAAGTCTTTTCTTCTTGTTTTTTCTTCACCGTATTTGAGGAACAGAAATCATAACAGTAGTATGCTAGCAGAATGATATAAAGACGGGGTATCCAGGTGGGGTGACAAAGGAAATGTATTTTCCTACCTCATCTATTCCCTTGCTGAGAATCAATCACAGTAAAAATTCCAATTTAGGTAATACTGTTGGGGAGTAGTTGTGTTGCCTTAGAAAAGCATCTTACCTTTTTCTATCAGTTTTGTTTGGAACTAATGGAGCATGTAGGAACTAGACTATGGTGAGAGTGGAAATCTTTATTCTAATCCCATGAGCCCCTTATTAGTTAGATGACCTTTAGCAATTGACTTCATCTTTGTTTCCTATCTGATAAAACAGTTGACTCCACAGGTCCTACCACCTCTCAGGGTTTCCTAAGATTCAAGAGAAAATTCATTTCTTTTTTACAAACATTTATTGAGTGTCTAGTGTATGCTAGGCTCAGATCCAAAGTGCATAATGAATACAGCAAATCCCTTGCCTTCTGGGAGCTTACATTCCAATAGAGGAAGATGGGTGAAAAATAGGTGGTGTGTGTAAGAGTGGAGTTGGAAGGGGAGTGTTCTGTTTTCCATGAGGTGAGCAGGGAAGTCCTCTCTGGAATTTTAATCAAGGCTCAAGTAAAGTAAGTGAGTTATTAGGACTTCCTTGGCAAAAGACAGACCAAAGACAAAAGCAGTGATGTTGGGAGGGTTTGGCATGCTTCAGGAACAGCAGTCCGTGCAGCTGGCACAGAGTGAGCTGGCAGAATGGTAGATGAGGTCCAGGAGGTGGGGTTGTGAGGTGTAGATCGTGTAAGGAAGGCATCTGGATCTCATACCAGAGGAGATGAGAAGTCATCTCCCAGAGGGGTTTGAGCAGAAGAAGGATGTCATCTAACTTGTGTTTTAACAAGATCACTCTGGCTACTGAGTGGAGAACAGAATAGATTACAACCAGTCAAGGTAGGCTACTTTAGACTGTGGTGACATTGGTGCACAGTGGTATGTGGTCCGAGTCTAGGTATGTTTTGAAGGAAGAGGGGAGAGGATTTTCTGACAGACTGGATGTGAGCTGAAAGAGAGGAGTGGAGTAACAAAAGTTTAGACCAAAGCGAAGTGAACAAAGGAATTACTAATATAAGCAAGCTTGCTTTAGAACTTAAAGACCATTATGTAAGGTAATATTAACTAGTTCATTTTGTACCACAGGCCAAATATTTGACAGATTAAAATCTTATTCCATTCCACTAAGACAGAAGGTATTTCATGTTTTTCACCAGTTTTTAATTCTGTGGAACTCACTAGTCAGAGGTCATGTTACAACAGTGGAAGTTTTTAATGAGAAAAGATTTTATTATAAGAAACAATGCCATCAGGTAAAAATGCAAAAAATTGTGCAATTATGGCAAAATGTTTAAAAACATCTACACATTTGCCCCCAAAGGACTACAGTACTTACTCCATACCTGAGCACTGAACATTGAATGCCATTTGAAACTGCTTCACATAGGGAATCTGATTCCTTGCAGAGCACACCCACTTCTCCTCATGCACCAGTGAAATCAGCCTGATGCGTAAGCATCAACTTTGTAGGAGAACAGAAAATGAGGATGGGAAATAAAGAATACAGTTTCTACTTTCCTATAACATAGTTATACCAAGTCCAGTTTTCAATGTGTAAAAAATATATAGGAAAGTGCTACATACATTCTTCAAATGCAAAAACAAAGTTCAAGTGGGACTGGCATATGTTAGCCTATATTTTAATTCTGTAGTCCCCATTGTGCCTTTTACTTATATTCTCATCATACTATGCAAACGTACCTTAAATATCTAAACATATATACCCACACAAATTACTAATCTTAGCTCTCTAGGACCTCTTCTGAAATCATTTTAAAAGTGGCAAAATATCCCAGTTATATAATTTAAACAAATAGTTCTTCGTACAAAATTCAATATATATTCTACTCCCAGAGCAAATTCTAAACATTGGTTTTGACACACTATACTTAGATCACACCCCCAATATAAATGATTATAGCAAAGGATCAACTGTTGTGCAGATGAACAGAAAAAAATCTGCAGAATTAGCCACAGTATATTGTATTCCTATAGATCACACGGCACATATAAATTGTTAACTCACTGTTCTATGTCATGTTTTCAAGTAACACATTTTTCTAAATAAATACAGAAGATTGTCAAAAAGCGGCAGGAAATCCGATATTCAACAAAGCTTTCAGAAGTAAATTACATGAACATCTCTTGCAAACGTTAGTTTTCTCCTCCCCTCAGCAATGCAACACTGGAAAGATGCTTCAAAACACTCACAACAGAAGCCCACAACAGATCAAGAAAAACTAGAGAGAATAAAGGTGGTTGACAAAGTTTATAAAGAGATTATAGACATACTATCAAGGCCAATAAGAAACCACATAGCCAACTTCCTAAGACTAGATTTTAAAATGTTAATTCTATAAATGCTGTCCACTTTAAATTCTGCTTCAGAAAACGTTCCTTACTTGTAGAGGTCAAGGACAAGCAGTTTGGAAAGTTTCTGAAAAACGAGGTATGTGATGCAAAGAGGCAATGTTTTAAATTTGTTTCACAGTATCACATTACAATTTGTGCAAGAGTTTTTAATACAAACCATGCCAGTTTGTTTTCTTTAACAGAATCAAAATGTTCTACTTGAGGACAGACTCTGGGCTATCCCCATATCCTTTATCAATTATTCTAGGCAGAGTAAAAAACAAGTTACTAATGCAAATATCTGCCTTGGGTATTACAAATGAGTTGGTTTGTCCTTTATGCTACTATTACTAACTGATTGTTAGGAATTCATCCATTCAGTATGAAAAGTGATTTAGTACCTACAATGCTATGGTCCTACTCACTCGCCCTTTCCCTCTCAATACCTTCAGCCAGAACAAGGTTTTCACTGTAAAAATATACAATCTGTTAAGTGCAAAAATGAAAAAAAAAAACAAAAAAATGAGGTTTTAATGGTCATATGTAACTTAAAAGCCATTAAATTAGACCACTGCAGGAGTTTTAGGTTTTTAGAAAACAAAATTGTAAAAGCAGGTATAAAACTTCACATTATGCTCTGTGCAGAAGAGAAATAAGTTACCTTTCACTGTACCGATAATGAAGGGGTGGGGGGGAGGATGGGAAAAGGAGGTAGGGCAACACAAAGGCCCGTCTTAGTGCAAACTGAGTGTCATGTTCTCATTATTCTAAAACTGAGTCCAGTTAGAGATCTTGCTATCATTTAAGCAGAGAATCTTGTGAAGTCACAGGAGTTCAACAGGTAAAGTACTATGCCACGAAACCAGCATACCAACTTGAAAAGGTAAGCACAGGCTCAGACAATTTAAACTTATCTAGCTAGACACACGAATTCACTTATACTAGCACCAGCCACCTATGAATTTAAGCCCTTTTCGGGATTTGTAAATAATGAGACAGTGTGAGCACTTGAAAAAGTTATCAACAGAAAAAAAAAAAAAAAAAAAACTGCGACTTTAAAACTTTAGCTTAACTTAAAGTTACATGGGAAATGTGAAACAATCGGACTAAAAGCTCTTTCTCAGACAGATTTGTTTTCCTTCAACCTACACTAAAAACATACTTAAATCTCAGTACACTTGAAAACAGTACACAAATATATATATATATACATACACATATACATATGTGTATGTATATATATATATAGAATGAGGATCTAAGTGCTTCTCTGTGTTGGAGAGGTCACAGCTAAAGTCCTAGTGATATTGCCTCAAATTTTTACCCGTATTTAAAATAAAAAAGTCACATCAAACTAGTTCGGATGTCTCTAACCATAATACCCTAACTGCTCTTCTAAGAGTGCATAGTTGTTGATTCATCTGGTATCTCAGTGATGAACTATCACAAAATTCTAGAATGAAAATGATTACTTTTATACCAGAAAAAAAAAAATGCTGATAATTGCACTTTGTTACCTTTTGCTTAATGAAATGAAAACATCACAAGGATGAAAAGAAATCCCTCCCTATGCCATAATCTTTAAGAGCACCCACTGCCATGTACAAACTCTCTCAGCTTCTTAAATACTGACAGCACTTCTTGTATCATTGAAAGACGAAGTTTCCCCAAGCATAAGATGCCAGTGAGCTCACTAAGGCCTGCTACTCATTAAAGTACTTTTTGAAGACACTGAGGATAGAGTTTAGCAACAGCACATTCAAAATGCCGGCCAAGGTCCCAGAGCCTGTCTGGGGTCTCGTACACTTTCATCCATTGGTCAGTGATGTCATCATATTGGTAAAGGGAATTTTTCCTGCTGGTTCTGAAAACATGTTCTTCAACAGTCACTTGAGTAGCTCGAACAAATAAATGTAGTTTATTCTGAAAAAGTACCAGTTTAAGGTATGGATTTATGGACTCATCACATGGAAAGTCCTTCTTCCGAGTCCATTTATTTAGCTCAATATCATAGGCTTCTACAGTAAACATACGTTGATGATTTCCACAGGTTCCAGCTATGTAGTAGATAGAGTCCTTGTATACAGCTGCTAAGCCCTGGATTCTAGGCACAGTCATGGGGGTTAAAAAACCCCAGTAGTCTTTTTGAGGCTCATAGAAGAGGAAAAATTCTCCTAAAAAAAAAAAAGAAAGAAAGAAAGAAAGAAAAACAAGAATATATATATTTACATGTCTCTTTTCGGTTTTATGTTGAAAAGCGTAATTTTCCAAATATTTCACTTTCTAAACTATTTCTTGAATAATCTCCAAAGATACATTCTATAGTATAAAATAGCTTAAAATGTCTTCATTCCATGGCAGAACATAACACACAGTATTATAGTTAGCCTGAATTGGGGGATTTGTAAGAGGTAGGTACAAGGAGTTACTTTAGCTTTAAGGCAGAATAATAGTTGAGAGCTTGGCTCCATTTATTCTATACATGTGTCTATTTTAGAAAATACATTTTAAGCCAGCTCTAAAAAAGCATTATCACTAAGGTTAGCCAGTAAGATCAGAGTATGTACACAGCTTCATCATGAATAAGCCACTCCACATTTATGTGCTAATTATTTAGTTAGAAAATAGCACATGGAATTGTTCAGATTGACTTCTATGGGCCATTAATACATTTACTTTAGTGCTGCTATAATTCAAAGACAAATGTAAGAGGAGAAAATGTGGCTTTAATATGATAGAAAACACACAGTTCATGGAGTTGACTTCGGGTCATTTTCTACTCTATTTTGGTGATAAAAGGGAGTGCTAAGTCAGACTGCTAATATAAAAATGTCCAAAAGAATTAAACCAGTGAAGATTTACAAGAATTTTGCTAGTTATAACATTTGTATAAAACCCTTCATTTAAAAATCTCGATCGATACTCCAGTAGCCACATACAGTACAGTATAAGCCTCTAACTATTTATGTCAACTTTATTTATATAAAGAGGCTTTGTTTAGATTAGAAATACCTACTTCTAAACTGAGCTTCCCCTTCAAAATTGTTTTGAACTAGATTTACTCTTATCTACAAATTGAACTGCCTACTTAGTAATAGTGACACTATAATTTGAATTCTTCTTAGAAGAGCTTGTTAAACCGCCATCTTTTAGTTGCACATCATCTTCCCTCATTTACTTTTTTTAAGATTTTATTTATTTATCTGAGAGAGAGAAAGAGACAGAGATAGAGAAAAAGAGAGAACGAGAGGGAAGGAGAGGGAGAAGCAGGCTCCCCACCAAGCAGGGAGCCCAGTGTGGGGCTCGATGTGGGACTCAATCCCAGGACCCTGAGGCAGACACCCAACCAACTGAGCCACCCAGGTGTCCCCCCTCATTGACTTTTAACAGGATTCTTAAAAAGACAATAGAAAATAAAAGTTTCTAACAGGTACTACCTCTCAACGAATTTCTTATAAAAAGATGACTCACAAAAAAAGTTAATTTTTAAAATCTAAAGTCCCCTTAATAACTTAAACCAGATAGGTCATTAAGAAAACTTTCAGAGCCTCAGATTCCTCTTATATAAAATATAACCTCGGATTAAGCAATATTTATTTCCAGCCCTGAGATTCTGTTAATTCCTTGTTACTTTGCTTTAGTATTCACATTAGTACATAACCTTTACCTTCCAATTGAAAGTCTTTTAATTAATTCTATCAAATAGCCAGCCAGCAAGACCAAAATATATATAGCAAAGCATCATCATATTGAATGATATAACTTATCCAACCATATTGGACAGATTATACATCCAGGCTTATATTCCATTATTCGGCAAGACCAACAAACCTAATCATGTCCATTCTTCTATTTAACAAAAATAAGGTACTAGATAGTGATACTCCTTTTGGAGAATTAACTTGATATTGAAATTTAAACAAATGTGTTCAGGCATTTCTAGTCAAATAAAAGATGAGAGCAAAGAACATATTCTTTTAAATGGTATAAAAGCTAAAAAATCATGTCTTTACACAGGAGTCACCCCTTTTTTCTTGTTTTATTAAAGTAATAGTGTGAGGAAAACATATATAAGCAATTAAGAAACCCAGATAAGAGGGGTGCCTGGGTGGCTCAGTGGGTTAATCCTCTGCCTTCTCAGCTCAGGTCATGATCTCAGGGTCCTGGGATCAAGCCCTCCCCCTCAGCCCCCCCACCCCCTCATCAGGCTCTCTGCTCAGCAGGGGGCCTGCTTCCTGCCCCCCACACCTGCCTCTCTGCCTACTTGTGATCTCTGTCTGTCAAATAAATAAATAAAATCCTTAAAAAAAAAAAGAAAGAAAAAAACCCAGAAGAGAAAAAGGATGTTGGTATTATCATCACTGTTTTCAATATTCAAGCAACTAAAATGTTTAAGAAACCAAACACAGGGAAAACATTAGTTCTCACTAGGGGAGCCTGGGTGGCTCAGTCATTAAGCATCTGCCTTCAGCTCAGGTCATGATCCCAGGGTCCTGGGATCACGCCTGCTTCTCCCTCTCCCTCTCTTCTTGGTTTTATTCTCTCTCTCTTTCTGTCAAATAAATAAATAAAATCTTTAAAAGAAAAATTAGTTATCACTAATTAGAACCTTGGATCAAATATCTTATTTATACTTATTTAGTCCTTCTTTCTACTTCTAGTACATGATCTTCGCCAGAATACTAGCCTTCAATAGTTTAAACAAATAATTTTTTTAAAGCTAAGTATATTAGGGGCACCCGGGAGGCTCAGTGTGTTAAGCCTCGGTCATGATCCCAGGTCCTGGGATTGAGCCCCGCATCAGGCTCCCTGCTCAATGGGAAGCCTTCTTCTCCCACTCCCACTCCCCTTGCTTGTGTTCCCTCTCTCACTGTCTCTGTCTCTGTCAAATAAATAAAATCTTTTAAAAAATTAAAATAATAAAGCTAAGTATATCAGATAGTTCCTCTTATAATAGCAAATGTAAAGAAAAAGGTAACACCTCAAAGCTTTTCAGTGAAAAAACTTGAAAACATATTATGGAAGGTATCATACGCTGCAGTGAAATTAAATCTAAAGACTATAATTTCAGGGGCAGCTGGGTGGCTCAGTGGGTTAAAGCCTCTGCCTTCAGCTCAGGTCATGATCCCAGGGTCCTGGGATCGAGCCCTGGAATGAGGCTCTCTGCTCAGCAGGGAGCCCGCTTCCCTCTCTCTCTGCCTGCCTCTCTGCCTACTTGTGATCTCTGTCGAATAAATAAATAAAATCTTTAAAAAAAAAATAAAGACTATAATTTCAAACTCTTTATAATTAAGTTTCCTAACCTTTGAAATCATAAGGCTTATCACAAAATTCTTCGTTCTTTTTTCTCTTTTAAACTAATCCAGAAAGTTCCATGAGAAGTAGCTGCTACAACATCTCTTGATTATGTATTATTAAAGAGTAAAACAGTCCTGTATCAAGCTTGGAGTCAAAAATGGCTCTGAAAGTCTCCCCAAAATGCTGAACAGGTATTCACTAAATTGTGTTTTCAAAATACTTATCCCCCATGATGTCAAAACACAGTAAGACATAAAAAACTCACAGAATCATTTTAGTATCTTAGAGATCCCTGCCTTTTTTGATTCCAAAGTTTACTGCCTTTATAATTCCTTTAAAGAACAGACTTGCAAAAAAAAAGAAAAGACTCGCAATAGTTTAAGATAAGAAAGCCGGAGGAGTCCTCAGTTAAGAACAAACATCTGTTTTAGCGTAAGTACGTAAACCACATTTGACCTACTCCCCTCTCCTGGAGAATAAACCAGTAGGCACCTACCCTGTAAAACATAGATCTTCTCTTTGTACTCCACAGCGTTATGAAACTCCATTGCAACAGGCATTGCGCAAACGCTCGTCCAGCAATTCTCTCTGCTGTCGTAGCACTCCACGGATTTTAGTGAGTTTCTCCCGTCACCTTCATAAACACGACCTCCTATTGCATACATCTTACCACAGCAATACACCAGTTTACAGCCTATTCTGGCTCGCAGCAAGGGGGGTTTGGAAAGCCACCTATTGGTGGAATGGTCGTACATCCAAAAATCATTTTCTGCCTTATGGTCGATGGAGACCTCGCTGCTGCTGGGCCGGTACCCTCCTGCAATGTAAATATCATTATCTGGTGATACAAGAATCCCAACTTCTCTTAGATCATTTGGTGGTTTGCATAGTTTAAACACTCTTCCTGTGACTATATCTAGACAAGGCACTGTTTGCTTCTTTCCTGAGTGTTTGTGGGCAGCATCAAAGCATATGATCATTTCGGACGCGGTCATTCCAAGTCTCTGTGTGCAGCCATTAGTATTGGATGGGCCCTTTTCTACATAGCTTTTGGCTATAGCCTGTGCAAACTGAGGTGGAATTTTTTCGATAAAGGCCTCCTCCATCAGAGGAAAACGTATGCATTTGGCAAAAATTTCTGGAAGGTGCGCTTCTCTTTCATTCTGTTCATGTTCAAACCACCTTACAATGCTTTCATAAACATGCTCTTCTCGGTCTACGTTTAAATCATCACTGTCTAGGATACTTATCAGTTGGTCTTTTGTCAACTGGAGAAACTCTTGTTCTTTGGTGACACACAGAAACTTTTTACGAATGTATTCTTTTGATCGATCTCCGAGTTCCTGATGACCATAATGATCCGCAAAGATGAAGACCCCAATAGAATTCTGTGGGTCCAAATGACTGATCATGTACTTAGCACATTGGTCTTGGATGGAAGGAATCTGGAAGATGCTAGCTGCAGTGAACAAGGCTTGAACATTGGCCTCTGTCAGAACCACTCTGGAGGTGTAGGCATAGTTCAACACTAAATCCATTGATTCAGCTTCAACACCAACTATTCGAACTTCTTTTTGAGTACTTTCTGTAAGGCCGCTAGTGAACATGGATCTAGGAGGGAAAGAGTGGTTAATAGTATATATACACTCCAAATAAAAATTATTGTGACAAATTTTTTAAAGTATACAGTTACCTTACCACAAAGATAACCTTGGAGACTGAAAATATTTTAGTGTGTTTCCTGATATTCTGAATGGGGGTAAAAGCTGATCATCTAGAGTAAGGATTTAATCTGACTAATCTCAAAAATTCTATTCTCAGGGCCAGTCCACTTTTTTACTTTTTCTTTTTCTTTTCTTTTTTTCTTTTTTTTTTTTTTGGTTTGTTTAAATTCAATTAGCCAACATACAGTACATCATTAGTTTCAGACACAGAGTTCGATAGCCAGGACACCTTATTTTCCTTGGAGCCCCTATCCAGGAGTCTGGTCAAGTTGCCTTAGGGACTTGAGATATTAACTCACCAGACCAATCAGAAAATTTAACAATACCTATAAGGTGGCAAAATAATATATTAGCAAATACAGACTGTCTGATTGAACTCTTCATGTCCCAATGGAAGTGTACAAGGCAACTTGTCCCTGAAATATATCTTTAAAAATCTCATCTCAGAAAAACAAAATGTTCTTCAGAAGTTCATGTTCTCTACTACTTCCTTTTAAAACTATTATCTTCTGAATGCCTCCTTAATCATTAAAGGAATATAAAGAACTTCACTTCACTTTCTCTTGGACATTTTGAAAACCTTTGCTTAATGAAATATACTCAGTTTTCTCAAAGCTACCATATTTTACCTATGTATATCTGAATATAAGTAAACATTATACCAGGTTAATAGAATGCATACTTCTAAAGAGAATTTAAGAATTAATTGATGCTTTGGAGACAATGGTTTTGAAAAATCCCAAGCTTTTGCCTTTGAAAGCAAATTTGTTTATTTATTTATTTACTTATTTCTAATTTAAAATATCTGTGCATTTTGGGGACTTTTCTTGGCCAAACATTAAGTAGCCAAAAGCCTGGCTCTTTATTTTAGTATTAGTCATGTACATACATCATTTGCCTTTCCCCTTCCTCCTTTAAGGCTTCTTTCTAGGCTGCTCTTAAAATTAAATGCAAAAATCAAATCAAAATTCTTTTAAAAAGCCTTTGGGAAAAAGAGTTGTTTGCCCTAGGGTGCTTAGTACATGTCTATTGGAGAAACTGACCTAACATTGGTGATAAAGTTGTTTATGCAGACAGACCCCTCTCATTTTCAAGTGTTAGATTATTAAAAAAAAAAATCCTTAAACTGTTAATTTTAAAATACAATGAGAAACACTGGGGATATACATGGGTACAATGATAAAGCTTGTTTGCCTGGAAGAACCATCTTTGAGGCCTACTTTATCTTCTACAACATAAATTTTAAGCTTAATATCACATAGGCTTTTTTTCATGATTGAAAACTAGATCTCCCAATGTATAAGCTGGTTTTCCATTTCAGGTGCTGAAAAACTCAGCTATACAGCTACCAATTAAAAAGAAAAATAAAGCCCTTCATTAGGCAAAGATTAACTCCCAAAGGAGAACATTACCACATACCCCTTTATCATGGGAACTCTACTGACTTGAATAGGCTGACCTCACACAGAGGAGCACTGTGACACTTGATGAGTTCTCCTCTGTTCTAACAGGATCTATCTGTAAATGTTACGTAAAGATGGAACACTTCCTCACACAAAATCCTGAGCAGCAGAAAGTTTCCAATAATCATGCAGATTTTAATTCTGACAAGTCACTGGGATCATGAAGCAGCCATGCCAGATTTCAAGCTATTTTTATTTTTTTTCCACCAGTGATGCAAGACTTCGAAACTATTCAGTATGTCTTCCTAGATCTCACATAAGGAGCAGCACCAGTGCCAAGAAACTTCTCTAGCAAGAGATAAGAACCTAAGCCTTGAGTTTTCTAGCCAAATACCTTAATCTGAATTCATGCATCTTGTGCTTAGAAAGTTTTCCAAGCATTTTCCTTAATTTCTTGTAATTAAGAAAATCTACTGTAGCATACTTCTTTTAAAGTGATTTGTCTAAGTCTTCAAACTAATTTTAATTACAAGCTAGAGTATAAAACTTCAGTAAGATACAGACATTTTCACTTTCAAGTTTCAATTTTTTAAAAACTATTCAAATCTAATATACAATAGAAATTTCTCAAAGGCAACTTTAGAGGGGACCTACTCTTGTTCATTAAAAGTCATAATAGTGACTAAGAAGCCTGACTCTGGAATCAAACCCAGCCTCTGCCACTTAGTAAGTAGTTAGATGATTTAGTCAGGTCATTTAACTTCCCCAAATCTCAGTTTTTCACATGTAAAATTGGAATAACTTTGCAGAGACAGGATGGTAAAGATATATAAAGCAATATATGTAAAGTAAGCTTAGCCCAGAAGTTGGTAGTAGTAGTTATTACATATATTTAAATGCACAGCTGAACTAACCATATCTAGTGGATAATCTGGATAATCGAATCCCATCAGTAGCTTCCATTACCAGGCCAAACTTCATACCTTCTGTGTATAGGAGTTTCTTCTTTTTTTCCTTCCAACTCACTCCCTTGTGATGGTTAATACTTAACAGTCCAATGACCTATCCCTAGGCAAGTCTAAATGGTTACATCATAAGCATCAGACTGAAGGGACTATATTTAACCCAGTATTCTGAGAAAGAGGAACCAGAAACTACTGTCTGGAACATTACACTGATATATGCCCTATAAAGGTAAGCACCTTCAAAGGGAAAAACAAAACAAAACAAAACAAAAATACCTTTAGAGCATAGTTGAGATTATCTCACTGTCATTCAGGCACCATTTCTGAACAGTGAAATGATTAAAAAAGTGAGCGCTTTAAAAACAAAAGTTAAACTCAAGCAGAAATTGTCTTTATCGGTGATCTCTTCTCAAAGTATGAAAATCTTTGTTAAACCCCAGTTTTGAAATTTTACAGTTCAAACGTTTTGATACACAAAGAAGAATATAATGAAAAGGAAAACTTAAAAACACTTCTGGAAATCATGGAAATAATCTTTAGTCTGGAGCCTAAGATATATTCATTCATTTTTATTTCATTGCTTTCCCCCATAGCATTAAAACAATCTACTGAATGGTAATTTGTTTTCAAAAGAATGCCCTATTATATAAATTCCAAGAGTTACATACACCAGAGAACTATGCCCCAAGGATAAGTTTTTGGAACAAATTATAAATCAGCACCATCCACTAAAACTTCCAGTGATGGAAATACTCTATATCTCGGTTTTGCAATTGTCAGCCACTACCTACATGTGGCTACTGAGCACTTGGAATGTGGTTACTTTGCCCAAGGAACTGAATTTTAAATTCTATTTAATTTAAAACAATGACCGAGGAGCACAAGTCTAGATTTTGTAGTTATGCACCTGAAACAAACAAAAACATACTCACTAACTTAAAAACCAAAGACCCGAATTCTAGAAGAATCTGTCAAGTCAAAAACAAGGGCTCAATAAAATAGGGCCTGTTATTTATTTTCAGGAAACAAACTCATTGGTTTCATTTGATTGTCTCATCTGCGTTTTGTAATCAAGTGGGCAACACTGAGGAATAAAGGGAACCCGGTGAGGATATCAACAGAAGTTTCTACCATCATCATACCTGAAGTAGGGGCTGATTGCAGCAAGAACGTTTCTATGACAGGAAAATGTTTTCCCGTGATCCACTTCCACTACAATGTCTGTCAACTGTCCTTCATCGTACATTGTTTTAAGTTGCTTAAGAATACTGCACGCATGGAAGGGGTCCATGGCATCGTTGGCTGTGTCTGAAGATGGAATCCCATTCGGTGTTGGGGAAGACTTACTTAAATCTAGGAGAAAAATCGTACAACCACAAGAAGTTCGGAGCCCGTTACGGAGTTCACGCTCTCCCCCCACAACCCCCCGCCTACAAAAATACATCTATGTACATACACACGACCAAATGGGACGGCGGGGTGAGATCTGGGGAGAGTGAGTGCTGCGCTGCAAGTTCAAACACCAGCTTGCTCCTCCGGGAGCCCGGCGAACCCGATATCCCGTGCTCGCGGAGGGACTGTGCAGGCAGAACAGGCGCGGTGTCTGCGGCGATTCCGCCGAGAGCCAGAACGTCCCAGCCGAGAGCGGGGGCAGAAGCCTCACGAGGGAAGCTCCAAGGATGGCGGCCCGCCAGTGCCCCCTCAACCGCCTACTGAACTGGTCGAAGTGGTGGCGGGTACCCGGCCTCCCCATCGCTGCCCGGCCGGACCGCCCACCGCCCTCCACGCCATCCATCCTCCCTCCCCTCATCCCTCTCCACCTCCCCATCCTTCTCTCAGGCTCTTCATCGCCACCTCCTCAGCTCACAGCCTGAGCCTGGACCTCGGCCCACCTCTCCCGCAACACACCTCCCCAGCCACCACTAGACCCACCTGCCGACGCGGCCATTTCTCTACCGGGCCCCGGCTCCAGCTATTTAAAGAGGAAATGTCATTTCGCTTCTCTGGCTCCCGGGTTCCGGCTCTTCTAAGCTTCACCTGGCCAATGGGGTGGCCTATGCATCCGGCTCCGCCCCTAGCCTTCCAGTTCCGTGTTCCGATTGGCCATGAGCTCCGCAAGGCATTTCGGGAAGTGTAGTTTTATTGCTCCCGCTCCCGCGTGGTCCGAGTAGGGCGGAGGCCCACGCCGGTGATTCTTATTGGCTGTTTATGGCGAAGGTGGAGAGCTGGGAATTCGCCAGCCTGTGTCCGTGGGGCGCGCAGTGCCTGCCGGGAGAGGTAGTCTTCTGGCTGAGGAGAGCTGTCATTCTGAGGGGCTGGGGTAGGGAAAGCTCTTGAAATGCAAATTTCCCCATTTTAGGCCTCTCTCCAGGGACGCGGCTCTTTATTTATTTTTTTTAATTATTATTTTTTTTTAACCTTGTTCTTCATTCCCTAAACCTCTCGCCAGTGACTAGCTTCCGGTATGAAAACGGACTCTGCGTGAAGGCTGTGAAACCAGAAAAATTTGGAAATGGACAAGAGGGCTGTTGTCCAAAAATGCGAAGGAAATCTGACACTCCACCCTGAAGTAAAATATCAGGAGGCTCAAAAACTAGCCATCTCTGATGAGTCACCTGTGACACCCAGTTGAAATTGCATCGCCTTGGCGGAGTGCTCTGGTTTCTACAGATTAATTTGGTCTGGTTACAACGGCGGCTCAAGATCTTTAACTCCCACTCATGCCTTGCTTTTCCCCGAACACCCGGAGAACACCTGTTCCACTTTTAAGAGCGCTTGAACAGTGTAGAGAGAGTCAAGATGCTTTCCTTTTTGCGCCTGGGAATTAGAGGAGCTAAGATAAATAGTCTGAGATTTCTTTTGAAGACTTATTCGAGGATGCCCTGAGCCTGAGCCAGGCATCGTTACTGAAGCCCTGGTGTTTTTCCTTAATAAAAATGTGAACTTAGATAAGACCTTTTCATTCTTGAGCACTGAGGTCCTTCACCTGTACCCTGTGAATAAGAATTACTATCCCATCCGCCTCATAGGCTTCGAGCTTTTTGAAGGAAAGCAGAAATTTTACTGTTGGCATGTTTTGATGTACTTGTTTTGTATTTCTAGCATGTAACAGGGTGTCTGGCACATTATAGATACTTAATATTTTAAAAATAAATATAAGGCACAGATGAGCTAACATTGGGAATGCTATTTGCAGACCTTTGAAATTTAAGTATTATCAGTGAATGGGAAGGAATTTTTAGTAAAGATATAGTTAGTCTCTACACATAGCTTTTCTAACACTGAAAAGATCAAACAGTTGAGCTTCTTGATAAAGGATTGGAATTTAAGTTGTGATTGAAAAAGATAGAGAATGATGAAAAGCAATCCAGCTCTCCTAGCTCCACTGAAAACTTTAGAGCTCAGAATACTATAATTCCCCAAGTTAACACGAATTGGTGTTTCCTTGGGTTGGGATATATGAACATTGATATACACTGTGTCTATCTGTAAACAGTGTCTGCACAGCTCTGCATGGATAAAATTGATTTAACCTCTGTTACTCAGAACCTTAAATTACCATTTTTTATGGTCTCAGTGTTATTGTTTTCTAAGTTATGAAAATGGTAGAGGTTTCTTCACTCACCATGTTGAAGATATTAAGACAAAAAGGACATCAATCCTTAGGGATTTAGCAAATAAAAATACAGGACATACAATATTTAGGACATAATTAAAGTAAAATATTTGTTATCTAAAATTTAAATATATTTGGGTGTTCTGTATTTTATCTGGCAACCTTTGCAAACCTGTTACAATATAGATTTTCTGGTTTGGGTTTTGTTTTTGTCCTCATGATGTATCTAAGCCTTAAGAAATTTGGCCAGTTTTCTTTTTCATTTAATTCTCATCTAAGGAACAAACAGACTTGACAATATTGCTTAATTGATTAAAAGGAAGTTTTCTGATTCTTTGACTCACAAAAATTTCTGAATTTGGGGGTGGCAGAATACAAAGAACAAAGGCCAATCTAAATATAAATAGGGAAAATAGTGAACATTCATAATTACAAGGTTGCCATTTATATGACACTGTAAATAGACTCCATTCTACTGGGCAGATGGCATTACATAGTAAAGATTTCATCATCATTAGAAATGCATTTAAAAAAAAAAAAAGAATAAGGAGGAGGATGCAAAAATTGAGCCAGTAGTCCCACACAATTCATTCTCAATGATCTTTAAGAATACAAAAGAGATTTTGTTACAGGATTGATACTAAATAGCCAAAGACTACAGCTTTGTTTTCAAATAGCTCTAAATTGTAATTTTATAAGAACCTACTGCCAATCTAGAAAGGCAGCAGCAAAAGTAAACCAGTTTTCTGGTTTTCTGCATTAAGTACTATATTGTCCTATGAAGCAATATCTTATATATTTACAATTTAAAGTAAAATTTAATAAGGATGAAAATTGAAAAAGCAAACCAGATATTTGAACGACCTGTTATTTAGTTCAAATTAGACACTTGGGGGTTTATTATTTTAATGTTTATTACCTAGGAACCAAAAGGAAAGAAGTTTGTTATACTTGTGGTTGAGAGTAGAAAAGTCTTTATGTTAAAATTCTAGCAGAGATGAAGGATTGTGAAAACAGCAAATTTGGAGAATGAAAAAATCGCATAGTTGCCTTGTTTCTTTTTTTTTTCTTTTTTTATGCTTCCACTTTAAGAGAATGAATTTTAGCAATTATCAGCTATGCCCAGGCTACCGTTGATAATAATAACACACAACACAAAAATGATAGCAACCCTGATGAGGAAGGTACAAATGAAATAGGACATCACTCTGCAAATCGATTCTGCTGTTTTCTAATTTTCCCTGTTCAGTACCAGTTAAGTCTGCGAAATTGACCAGAGCAATATAAAATGAAAGTAAAGAGAGAATACCTGTAACTGTTACCTTTTAACAAATTACATCCTTCTATATTTATCTTTCTCAGGCTATAGCTACAGCACAATGTGATATTTCTCCTTTCTAAGGACTTTTATGTTGACTGAATTAATGCTTTAAAATGAAGTAACAAGTTATTTGATTATAAATTTCATATGACATCACATACTGAAAAAGTGGGGGTTTTTTTGGTAATGTTTAGAACCTGATATATTTCATAAGATTTTGTAGGGTTTTGTATTTAATAGAAACAATAGATAGTAGATAGCATAACTATATCTATCCATCTATAATGAATAGATAGTAACATCAGGTTTATTGATTGTATATTACTGGTCTCTGTTGTATTTTAATTTTTGAAAATTTATTTTTAAGTAATATCTACCCCCAATGTGGGGCTCAGACTTATGACCCCAAAATCAAAAAAGATCAAAAGTCACATGCTCTTCCACCTGGGCCATCCAGGTGTCCCAGGAATGTTCATTTTAATTTCCTTGAGGTGGTGTGAGGCTTCAACATGGTAGGAACTAGAAGACTGCCTTTTGTAAATCACTGAGTTTGATCATACTAAGGGTTATTAAAACACATTAATTTGCCTTTTAAGTGTTTGAAATTTAGCATATATATATGAAAAACAAGAGATTGTCAAACTAGTGGCAGGGATATTCAATTCCTCAAAAATATTCATTACCACCTCCCAATCTGCATTTTGGGCAGACACTGTACAATGTTCCTGAAATCAAAAACAAGTTATTGATTATATGGAGAAAGAGAGATAAAGACTAAATGTTTATGTTCCTTCAAAATTGATGTTGAAACCTGATCCCCAGTGGGATGGTATTTGATGGGAGAGCCTTTGGGAGGTGATTAGGTTATGAGGGCAGAGCCTTCATAAATGGGTTTAGTGCCCTTACAAAAGGGACCCAGTCTCCACCACATGAGGACACAGAGAGAAGACAGCCATTTGTGAAACGGGATAGGAACCTCACTAGAAATAAAATGGGCCAGAGCCTTGATCTTCGATTTTCCAGACTCCAGAATGGTGAGAAATTTCTATTGCTTGTAAGCCAACTAATCTATGGATTCTGTATAGCAGCCTGACTAGACTAAGGGATGTGTGTGTGTCTGTGTGTGTGTGTGTGTGTGTGTGTAATATATAAAGGAATCATATGTGTATGATTCTTAACCTCAAAGACCTTATGATTTATCCATTGAAATAAAACATGAAAATTCACATTTTCACATGAAAATCAATTTTCACATGAAAAATCAACTAAAAGGGGCTGCCTGGGTGGCTCAGTGGGTTAAGCCTCTGCCTTCAGCTCGGGTCATGATCTCAGGGTCCTGGGATCGAGTCCCACATCAGGCTCTCTGCTGGGCGGGGAGCCTGCTTCCTCCTCTCTCTCTCTCTCTCTCTACTTGTGATCTCTCTCTGTCAAATAAATAAAAAAATCTTTAAAAAATCAACTAAAAAATGAGGACAGAGGGCAGCCTCTGAATAAAATAAGTATTTCACAAAATAAAAATTAAGGATTTCAGAAGGGATATGAGATTTTGTCCAGCTGGTGTGGGATTTCAGCTGGGCATCAATGGAGGGTTCACCACAGAAATATTCACAAAAAGAATAGTGTATGTTCTTACCCATTTGCTGTATCTTGTCTTGATCTACAAGATAAAGCATTAATTCATTCATACTTTAACATCGATAGGGCTTAATTCAGGGCTTGAACAAAGAAAAGGTAACACATGACTATGTGTTACCTACATTATTTCACTTAATTTCATGTTCTAATTAAATTTTATAAGAACAGTGTTACAAATGAAGAGACTAAATCCTAAAGAATTTAAATTACGTGTCCACAGTCATATGGAGATCTTTGGCTCCAAAGGCAATTCTCTGTTGAGTATATAAATGTCCCTAGGTTTAAGACAGAGCATTGAAAATAAGATGTCGAATTTTTTTCTCCACTAAACAGGTCTAGTTTTGTGTCAAACCATGGTCAATTATTATCTGCTAGTATTTACCATGAATGGAAATACTACTGGTATAGGTGTGAGATAATTTCATGCCCCAAGAAATGAG